CTCAAACACATCAATTACATACACCCAGCAATCAAATTCTCGATGGAGGTAGAAAAAGGCATGCTACCTTTCTTGGATGTCATAATCAAAAAGAGACCAGATGGCTCATTGAGCCAATCTGTCTACAGGAAAGTAACTCATACCGACGCTACCTAAAACATGATTCCCACCACCATCGATCCCACCAGAATTTCCTCATGAAAACGCTACACCATAGAGCTCAATGTATCTCCGACCATGAACACCTGACGAGTGAACTCAAACACGTACACAAAACTCCCAAGGCGAATGGATATTCTGACTACACAATCTGCAAAGCCATCACCCCAACCGTGAGGAAGGAGCCATTTGAAGATCAAATCAAGTGGTGGTGAGAGATAAAGCGATGAGAGATAAAATGATGAGAGATAAAGCGACGAGAGATAAAGTGAATCGAGTTAAATTGAATCGAAATAAAGTGATGAGAGTTAAAGTGAAGATCCAATCAAAACCATCACCAAAAAGATTTCCAAAATATTGAACAAACACAAGATCCAGGTCCAATTTAACACAGTGCGTAAAATTCGTGATCTGATCCCATCTGTGAAGGACAAGATTCCTGATATGCAATATCCCGGCCTCGACAAACTAAGCTGTATCTGCGGCAGCAGTTACCTTGGGGAAACTAAACTTCATGCCTCGGACCGTGTTCATGAACATAAGGGAGATCTGAAACACGGCAGGACCAATACTTCTGCCATGGCTGATCATTACTTTAATGCGGCTGGCTCACGTGAAGTTGATTTCCCTAAGACGATGGTACTTGCAAGCCCACTCGCTATCAACAAAAAATCGTTCACGAAGCCATCCATATATACCGACACAGACACAATTTCAACTCAGAAATCGTTGGAAAGATGTCATCAACCACTTTGGGCCATGACTTGTTTTGTGTTTTCGTGTCAACCTCTACCGTCAGCAGTGTGGATGTTTGTAGCGAGGTGCAATGCCCCCCCCGCCACCATCGCTACCCACCACTTTCTCCCCCTATCTCTACCCCCTTCCTACCCCCATTGTCCACTCCTACATTGCCACTGGCTGACTTACACCGCTCAGCTCTCCTACTCCCAGCTACTGCATTGTCGACTCTTACATTGCCACTGGCTCAGTGGCTGCCCCGTCCATGCTGTGTGTGCCGCGAAGCCCTCCTCCTCCCAGCTCTCGTCCCCCGTCCACTAACTTTGGAAGCCCTTAGCATAAGCAGTTGCATTTGGAGGCTCGCCCCCTCTTTTCTCTCTGCCTGATGAAGACCGCTTGGTGTTGCGATTGAAACGTCGTGGGTTTTTTGCTTTTATTATTTTCAATTTTTTTATTTTACATTTTTTATTTTATTTTATTTTATTTATTTAATTTTTTTGTATTTTCACATCTATGTTGCATCCTATAACTAACCACACGGAGACGTCTGCTGGAGGCAACAAGTTTATTGAATAACTCTGAACACTCTGTTAATGCTACTCTGTTAACCACTACTCTGTTAACACGGAGAGGTGCGACCCCTTCCACTCTATTCTAAGGAAGAGACAGCCTCCCTTCTAGCGTACTCTACCCACTCTGGGCTACGCACACGCCGGTCCGTTGCGACGGCGGCTAGGAGAAGACTGGACCGACCAACCCACCCAGAAGTACAGGACTCGCCCTGGACCGCTTCAACCCCGGCTTAGCAAGAGCCTCGGGAGGGTCCCAGGGGGTCCGAGCTACCTTGGCTCCGCTTCAACCGGCTTACGAGAGCCACGGTTGAGGGTCCCCGGGTCGCTGGTTCAGTCTTCAGATCTTCAAATGTCTTCGAGCTTGAGTTGGTGAGTACTGCAACGACCGTCCCGAGGGCCGGCCTTTTATCTCCAGGTCGGCGTCACCCCTCCCCTCATGACCCCCCCTCCAGAACCTTCTGGAAGATCTTAGAGGGTCTTAATTCTTAAGAGGTCTTAGGAAGTGGAGGGGGGCCATCATCTCCCTCAGCCCCCAGCCCCTGGGGGGTCTGGGGTGTCAACCTCTGGTCACGGAGGGGTGGGGGTTTGACCTTCGGTCAATCCCTACCCAACTCGCTCTCTCTCTCGGCTGCCCCCTGTCGGCCCGTGAGCGTGGCGGCAGGTCAGCTGCCTACAGCGCCTTGTTATGGCACAACATCTACGTGACTTTATCGAAAGAAACAAGAATATAGAGAACATTTATGCGAGATAAAGTAACGAGGGATAAAGCATGATGCCGGCGGCGGCGTGTATAGCAGCGTGTGAGTTGTTTTTGTGAGTTGTTTTGCGTGAGTGTAAACTGTGCGTGAGTGTGTGAAAATGTGAGTGAGAATGAGCTGTGTGTGAGCTGCGTGTGAGTGTGTGTGAGTGAGCCGTGCGTGTGAGTGAGCCGTGTGAGGGTGAGCCGTGTGAGAGTGGCTGTGACGAGAGGGACTTCTGCGTTTATGTGTGTGTGATGGTGTGGTGATGTGCACTCTGTGTGTGATGGAGTGGTGATGTGCACTCTGTGTGTGTGTGATGGAGTGGTGATGTGCACTCTGTGTGTGTGTGATAGTGTGGTGGTGTGCACTGTGTGTGTGTGATGGTGCGGTGATGTGCACTCGTGTGTGTGTGTGATGGTGTGATGGTGTACACTCGTGTGTGTGTGATGGTGTGATGTGCGCTCGTGTGATGGTGTGATGGTGTACACTCGTGTGTGTGTGTGGTGGTGTGGTGATGTGCGCTCGTGGGTGTACCTGGCGCAGCCTGAGTGAGGCCTGGTTGGTCCCGCATGAGGCGCAGCCTGAGTGAGACCTGTTTGATTGTGCACCTGCTGCGGCCTGGGTGGGGTCTGGTTGGTCGTGCACATGACACAGCCTGAGTGAGGCCTAGCTAATCATGCACCTGGCGCAGCCTGAGTGAGGCCTAGCTAGATCGTGCGCCTGGTGCAGCCTGAGTGAGGCCTAGTTAATAGTGCACCTGGAGCAGCGTGAGTGAGGCCTAGTTAATCATGCACTTTGCGCAGCCTGAGTGAGGCCTAGGTAATACTGCACATGACACAGCCTGAGTGAGGCCAAGTAAATCGTGCACCTGGCGCAGCCTGAGTGAGGCCTGGCTAATCGTGCACCTGGCGCAGCCTGAGTGAGGCCTAGTTAATCGTGCACCTGGCGCAGCCTGAGTGAGGCCTATTTAATCGTGCACCTGGCGCAGCCTGAGTGAGGTCTATTTAATAGTGCACGTGGCACAGCCTGAGTGAGGCCTAGCTGATTGTGCACATGACACAGCCTGAGTGAGGCCGAGTAAATCGTGCACGTGGCGCAGCCTGAGTGAGTCCTAGTTAATCGTGAACATCGCACGGCCTGAGTGAGGCCTGGTTGTACACATGACACTGCCTGGGTGAGGCCTGGCGGATCATGCACCTGGCGCAGCCTGAGAGAGGCCTGGTTAATGCAAAAGGCACAGCCTGAGTGAGGCCTGGTAGACAGTGCACCTGGCGCAGCCTGAGTGAGGCCTAGGAAATCGTGCACCTGGCGCAGCCTGAGTGAGGTCTGGTTGATTGCGCCCATGGCGCAGCCTGAGTGAGGCCTAGTTAATAGTGCGACAGACCACAAGCTGTGTTCCTGCCAAGGCGGCATTGCCACGGACCCCAAGCTGTGTTCTTGCCAAGGCAACATTGCCACGGACCCCAAGCTGTGTTCTTGCCAAGGCAACATTGCCACGGACCACAAGCTGTATTCCTGCCAAGGCGGCATTGCCACTGACCCCAAGCTGTGTTCCTGCCAAGGCAACATGGCCACGGACCCCAAGCTGTGTTCTTGCCAAGGCAACATTGCCACGGACCACAAGCTGTATTCCTGCCAAGGCGGCATTGCCACGGACCCCAAGCTGTGTTCCTGCCAAGGCAACATTGCCACGGACCGCAAGCTATGTTCCTGCCAAGGCAACATGGCCACGGACCCCAAGCTGTGTTCTTGCCAAGGCAACATTGCCACGGACCACAAGCTGTATTCCTGCCAAGGCGGCATTGCCACGGACCCCAAGCTGTGTTCCTGCCAAGGCAACATTGCCACGGACCCCAAGCTATGTTCCTGCCAAGGCAACATTGCCACGGACCGCAAGCTATGTTCCTGCCAAGGCAACATTGCCACGGACCCCAAGCTGTGTTCCTGCTAAGGCAACATGGCCACGGACTCCAAGCTGTGTTCCTGCCAAGGCAACATTGCCACAGACCCCAAGCTGTGTTCTTGCCAAGGGAACATTGCCACGGACCCCAGGCTGTGTTCCTGCCAGGGCAGCATTGCCAACACAAGCAATCATCATCAGGTGTTTCCCTTCTAAGTGACTTTACCGAAAGAACCAAGAATACAATTTGAAGCATATTCTTGGTTCTTTCGGTAAAGTCACGTAGAAGGGAAACAATAAAATAATAAAAAATATTAAACAATAATATGTTTTATAATAAAAATATAAAACAATGTTTTATATTTGTATTATTTTATTCTTTCCCTTCTACGTGACTTTACCGAAAGAACCAAGAATATGAATCCCTGCAGTCACGAAAGCTTTAAATCAAGATTTGAAGCATGTTTAATTTTTTTGGGGGGGGGAGCAGAGCTTTGTGACGTCATATTTGCTGGGGGGGGGGGAGGGGGTCTGACTTTTTGTGACGCCGTGTGACTAGGGGGGGGGGGGTCAAAAATCGTCCAAAATCGCGTGGTGTCATTTATAGACGGCCCCTAAAGTGCTGAGAGATGAGACTTCCCTACCCCGTGTTGTAATTTCCCACGAGGGAGGAGGATCCAACCCCAACCCTTCCCCTCCCGCACCGCACGGATTGAGTCCGCAGCTGGGGCCAACGTTGGGGTGGGAACGGATCGCGTTCGTAAGTCGAGGAGTTGCCCCTCCACCATCAACCCCCCCCCCCCCCCATCGCTTAGCCCCGCCCCCCCCGGCGTTGATTCCCCAGAATCGATTTTTGTTGCCGTCGCGGATTCGACAGTTTGCTCGGAATCGATGGGAGGAATCGATTCCCCCCCTCCCCACAACTTCCACCATTGCTCAGTCGCTTCAGGTCACGTAGCAGGCAGCAAGAAGCAAGCAGCACGCAGCAAGAAGCAAGCAGCAAGCAGCAAGAAGCAAGCAGCAAGAAGCAAGCAGCAAGAAGCAGGCAGCAAGCAGCAAGAAGCAGGCAACAAGAAGCAAGCAGCAAGAAGCAAGCAGCAGGCAGCAAGAAGCAGGCAGCAAGAAGCCAGCAAAGCAGCAGTCATCAAGAAGCAAGCAGGCAGCAAGAAGCAGGCAGCAGCAGGCAGCAAGAAGCAAGCAGTCATCAAGAAGCAAGCAGCAGGCAGCAGGCAGCAAGAAGCAGGCAGCAGCAGTAGGCAGCAAGCAGCAGCAGGCAGCAGCAGCAGGCAGCAGCAGCAGGCAGCAGCAGCAGGCAGCAGAAGCAGCAGGCTGCAGCAGCAGCAGCAGGCAGCAGCAGCAGGCAGCAGCAGCAGGCAGCAGCAGCAGGCAGCAGCAGCAGGCAGCAGCAGCAGGCGTTGGTTCCGTGCGAACGCTTCCGAAGGCGGCGCAGGCGATCGGGACATCAATTCGGTGAACTTTGAACGTTGCAGGACTGAGGATTAACGTGGAAAAGACAGTCAATGGTGTCGGAATGGAGTGCGTTGAGCAAGAAGTAATAATAGATAGTGGCAAGATTGAGAATGTAAATGAATTTGAATATTTGGGAAGTCGACTGACATGGGAAAAGGACTGCGTGAAAGATGAAAGAAGAGCGAGGATCACAAAGGCAAAAGGAGGAATGGCAGGATTCAATAACATTTTGAGAAGCAGGTAAATCGGCTGCAAGACCAGGCTGAACATCTTAAGAACATGCGTTTTCAGCACAGCTTTGTATTCCTGGGAGACTTGGAGATTGAAAAAGACTAACAAAGATAAGATATTGACACTCGAACTGTATTGCAACAGAATGATACTGCATCTAAGCTGGACGCAAAGACTGACCAACGTAGAAGCAAGAACAAAGGTTGCACAGAAGAAGACCGATTGCAGGCAGCGATGAGAAAGAAACTGGCACTATTTGGACATTATGTGGGATGAACAACAGCAGGAAAATGTAATGTCGGTTGTTCGGAAAAATGGAAGGAACAGGAAAGAGAGGAAGACTTAACAGAGAATGACTTGACGATGACATCATGAAGAGGTTGGTGCCGGAAAGATTTGGCACTACTTGAGGAGATTAGCACAAGACGTAAGAATGGGGAAACAAATGACGAAATGTGCAGTTGACACCTACGGGCTATCTGCCCATGGATCGTGATGATGATCTTCAAGGGAGCTTTGTACTTTCACACAAACAATACAGAAAATAAAGTGGACAGCTCCACAGGTGGAGGCGACTGGTGAAATCTATCAAACAAGTACAAAATTAAATCGTCCACCACAAACCGGTAGTGCCACTCGCCCTGTCACCATGAAGACAGCCCCCAGCACCTCCCCCCAAATCTCAAGGGGGTTCAGGTGTTTGAGAATTGTCATTTTTGAATTAAGTACAGTACATAGCAGAGGTTCAGATGTTTCAGTTTGAATGTTTGAAGTACTATACAAGTCTTGATTTGAAGTTTCCTGACTGCAGGAATCCATACTCTTTGGTTATTTCGGTAAAGTCACGTAGGTAGAAACTAAGTAGTTAGAAACTAACTACGTGATTTTACTGAAAGAAGCAAAGAGTACAGTACAAGTGTTGTGTTGCAACGTTATATCTGTCAACCACTTATCAGTGGCTACTTTATTACAGACCAATTCAGACCTTATTGGCAACCCCGTGCCCCTTATAAATCTCAACGTTCATCCTACAAAGTCCCATCCCAAGGGACAAAACACAAACAAATAGGCACAAAAAATGTTGCCCATATTGAAACGGCTGTACACCGTATGGACCTGAAAAACTAAATTTCCCTGTGCAAGAATCCGGGTAAGCAGTATGGGTTTACAGGTATGTTACGCGTGTAGACAAACTTACCTTTGATGTCATGGTAAACAAGGGGGGCGCTCCAGAGCTACGGTTCGAGTTGAAGTGAGCCGTGCTTTGTGGTTGTTCCCCCGTTTTGTGATTATTATTATTAAATAGTTTTTATGACTAGACCATTTTTAAGTGTGATAATCTTACACTACACAAATTGATAAGGGGCCGAATTTAGGAAATAGACCACACGGTTTAAACAGCGAAGTACTATACAGGAGTACAGTATGTTTCTTGCACAGAAAATCACATCGCAGGAGCACTGCCCTATCCGAATTCACAGCAACAGGACCCCCACTTCTGAGCAGGAGGCTCAAATAACTTATCCCGTGTTAATTTACTTGTTTATTTTTCTTGCGGTTCTTGTGCTCTAACTGTATGACAGTCCCGTGTACTGTAGAATCATTAACTAAATAAATACACCCCTTTTGACACAGTTCCCCTCGGCCATTTACCCTCAGGAGATATCCTTCCTCTCCACCTCAGCCAATCTTACAGTCGTTCACGAACAGCATTTGCCCCAACATTCTGTTGGAACATATATGGGGGGTAGTTGTATTGTGTGTGTATGTTTGTGTGCACGAATATGTAAATTGTCTGTTCTCTGAGTTGGTCACACTCGGTGCTCTTAGGACGCACGACTCAGATCCAGAATCCTCACTGAGTCACCATTACCTCCCACAGTGCGGGGTAGAGAGGCTGACTAAACGAGTGGTGAATCACGTGCAGCAGCACAATAGATTCTGCGTGATAAAACGACAGCAAGCCCCGCCTTCCAGTGCAGGTGACACCCGACTCCCCGGCGAGGATCCTTCACCGAGACTGAGGTCGCTACATCACCATGAATCACTGATCAGCTGTTGCCACTTTTCCTAAAATCCCAGGATGAGTCGTTCTCTCGCAGTCTGCACTCTTTACCACTCCCTTTCCGAACGATGGTCCCGTACGCGACTCCAACCTCGCTGAACCTCGCGTCGAGGTATTGCAGTAGTGTATATGGGCAGTGGTAATTTACTGTTGTGCATATATAGTCAAACATAGCTATACCTTAGTCTGGTTCTGTGAGTTTAAGGTATTAAAACTGAACCCTACTAATTATAAAATATGCCTGAGTCTGGATCTAACTGCCTCAAGTATGATTACTAAATTCTAAGAATGCTAAGAAAGTCTGGATATGAGCCACAGCCAATAACACTGTACATTATGCATCCTAATTGTGCCTCAGAGAAGCACTGTTTGCGTAAATTAACACTTCTGGAATCATGCACTTCCAGGTACAGTAAAACCTTGGATTGCGAGTAACTTGGTCTGCGAGTGTTTCGCAAGAAGAGCAATTTTTTTAAATAAATATTAATTTGATAAACGAGCGAGGTCTTGCAATACGAGTAGTACGTATACGCTTTGTCTGCCGAGCATCACGTGCTTTGATATACGAGTGCTTTGGATTACAAACACGTTTTTGGAACGAATTATGCTCGCAATCAAAGGTTTTACTGTATTAGGGCTGATGGATTTGGACATTTAAAAGATTTAAAAAAATAATATATATAGACAGCTATAGGAAGGATGCTGATCTATTATTGTTACAAATACTCTACACAACGCGGCTATTTTGTGTAAATTATTAATATCACCAGGAGACTTTATGTCCTCTTTTACAGCAGGATTTGCAGTGAAATGGATATTTATGCATGCGACAACACTAACAGGCTCATAGCAATATCGTTGAAGGCATATCAAATTCTTTGGCACTTGTCGTAACGGGTACCCCAACATCTCACCATGTCCGTCTGGTGCTCATTGAGCTGCATTGGATTCCAGTTCCTGAACGAAGACAATAAAAGTGCTTGCCACAAATGAACCACAATGCCTTCCTGCTCTCATCAAGGAGCATGAACCATAGCGCAAACTCAGATGACCCTCGCGGCGGATTTTGGCTAACCATCAAACAAAGACGGTCACCGCATCGTGTGCTTTCAGATGCGCTTCTGCAGCCATCTGGAGAGCTCTTCCTTCTGATATTAGGAAGCCACTGGAGCTATGCACTTTTAAATCATCCAGATTGAAAAGACATTTCTTTAAAACTGCATGATGCTGCGTTTGGTTATCTGTCCTTCCCCCGCACCTCCGATTAGACGCCGGTTGACTTACGTACGGCGCGAAAGCAGTTCATCATTCGTACCCAAAAGGCTGAGAGCGATGGAGGCACAGCGTCCCCTACTGGGGCGACCTGTGTGAAGTGCAACAAATGCGCGGACTGCCGCCCCCTGCTGGCCTGCTGGGGAGTGGCATCCACGAGGCATCGTGGAATTTCCTCCTCTCACCTCTCTCTCGAAAGAGACGCGGAGCTCCGAGTGAAAGTGAATTCAGGCGAACTCGCGTGAAAGAAAGAAATAAACACCGCCGAGAGGGACTTTCCCAGCCACGTCCACCGTGACCCTGACCCCCTGCAGGCGTCTCTCCCCCCCTGCAGGCGATCTCTCTCCCCTCCACCCCGCTACAGCGCGCTCCTTGAGGCCGCGTAGACGAGGATCCTCACCCCGTGTGTCCCATCCTCCCAGCGATGTTCATGCGCGAGCCCTCACCCCACGGCACGTGCAGGTGTTGTGCACGTTCCCCTCGATCGATGCGGGGTTTGGTTTGTGCGATTTAGCGTGCAGTAATACCACCGTGGCAAAGATGTTAACTGCCTCGCCTGGTATGCCTGCTGCTGTATATTTAGAGTCTGCGTGTCGCTCTCATCATCATCACGGTGGCAAGGAGATGTTAACTACCTGGCCTGGTATGCAGGAGCTCGTGGGTTCGATCCCGACCCTGACTGACGCCTGCTGCTGTATATTTGGAGTCTGCGTGTCTCTCTCTCATCATCATCATCACGGTGGCTATGAGATGTTAACAATCTCGCCCGGTATATAGGAGGTCGTGGGTTCGATCCAGACCCTGACGCCTGCTGCTGCTGTATATTTGGAGTTTGCAGTGTCTCTCTCCATCATCACGTTGGCTATGAGATGTTAACTATCTCGCCTGGTATACAGGAGGTCGTGGGTTCGATCCAGACCCTGGCGCCTGCTGCTGTATATTTGAAGTGTGCATGTCTCTGTCATCATCACGGTGGCTAGGATATGTTAACTACCTCGCCTGGTATACAGGAACTCATGGGTTCGACCCTGATGCCTGCTGCTGTATATTTGGAGTTTGCGTGTCTCTTTCGCCGTGATCACGTGACAATGCAGCCTTCAGAGCGGTGCTCCGGAACGCGAAATTAGACAATGAAACTTTTTGCCAGGATGGCGCTGTGCATATTCATGTTTTTTCTATT